TAAAACTGAATTTCACAAAATTAAAGAAGAGGATGAAATCGAATGATACACTAGTGTTGGCCCTGAAGCTACATGTAAAGAGTCCCAGTGCTGTGTTGTATTTCCAACGAAGAAGAGTGTTTATCATTAAAGTCCTGTATGATTTTCTTCTCAGAAATGGTTTATCAAAGCTACAAACACCTGTTACATTATTTGGCAGTGGTACGGGGTGTCTTAACACAGCTCATAACAAATCATTCACAATTCCGGAAACATAACTTATAGATCACGATAAAAAATAATTAACAACGTGACCGAATTTTTGAACATGCAAGAAAACGGACGTGTTTGTAGAAACACTATAACAGAAAGTTAAGACTAATATGTTATATGCGCTAATTGTTGTAAGCTCAAGTGCCGGTCGATATCTGATTATTAAGTTCTACAATTGCCTTTAATGTTACTATCCCCCGTTTTCACCGAAACGGGGGATATTGATTTGGGTTTGTCGTCTGTCTGTCACGCTTCGTTTCCGTGCAATAACTGCAACAAATGCTAGCCGATTTTCCTCAAACTTGGTAACAGGGTTAAATGCCTTAATATAAGGGCTCGGCCAAGTTCGATGACCACTTTCAGCGGACTTTATTTGGCGGAGTTATGGCCCATTGAAAAACGAAAAAACGTCATTATCTGCCGTTTCCGTGCAATAACTGCAACAAATGTTAACCGATTTTCTCTTCAAACATGGTACCAGGATTAAATGCTTTGAGGGCTTGACCAAGTTCGATGACCACTTTCAACGGACTCCATTTGGCGGAGTTATGGCCCCTTGATTAAGGAAAAACATCATTATCTGCAGTTTCCGCTTAATAACGCTAGCAAATATTAGCCAATTTCCTTCAAACTTGATAACAATGTTTGTGTTCCTCTGTCTTTCCACCCATATTGGGCACTCTTTTGTGTTCGTTTGATAATTGCTTTAGATATTGTGCAGATATTTCAACCAAATTCCCTATGGACATCCGACTCATGCTAACTTTGCCAACCGATGTGATTTGTGCATATTAACGGATAATTAATGAGGTATAAGGTGTTTTTTTTTCGAGTTTCAAGCTATACATTATGTCTCAATAGTACGATACTCACATGTTTAAACCTAACCCCAATAATGTTTGCCTACAATATGTCCTGCAAGCGGGGAATATAAACTCCACGAATTTGCTTGTTTAATATACTTTTGTATGTTTTATTATTTTATCTGTTTTAATGAAATCAGATATTGCCTTTTCATTCGAAGCGTTTTCCGCATATTTGAGGTCGACGTCTTAGTTTAAGTACGGCAGCTAATCTTCAGAAAGGTAAAACGATAGTTGTATC